GGAGGCTAGGGTGGAATATTCAAGCCTAGAAGAAGCAGAAGAAGATCTTGAGCTCAAATTTGTAATCCGTCTCTCTCTCTCTAGAAGCTCACTCTTTTCTCTTGGGTTTTGTAGTTCCTTAACTAATACTTTGTAATTACTTGTTTATATTGAATGATTTTCATTGGGTAGTGTTTAATTCAAGGATTGAGGTATTATTTATGTCGATTGTGCATGCTCGTGCTTAGCAATCTAAGGGTTGTGCATGTTTTGTGCTTAGCATCCTTAGGTTTGTGCATTGTGGTGCTTAACAAGCTAAGGATTGTGCATAGTTGTGCTTAGAACCCTTAGGGTTGTGCATGTTGGTGCTAGCAATCTAATTAGCTACTTTAACTTAGGTTAATTTAGGGCAAACCTCAACGTTGAATTAATCAAATTGGTTAAGCGTGATTAAGCCTTCCAACCTTGAGTTAAGTGAGGGAGTAAGTCAACTACCGATTGAATAAATCGAGAGGGTCAAGTGACAGTGTGACACGGCCTTTCATGCTTACCTCGGTTTAGCAATTGAGATTATGGTCTCCGACCACATATGCATCCTTCTGAGGTACGCGGTTACCAGTTTGCATCTAGGTTGGCTGTGATTTAGCCGCTCAAACTCCGGTTTGAGTGAGAGACCTAGGCAACAACTAAAGCCTGAGTGAGAGGATCGATCCCGTGACAAATCGATCTCTTGCAAATCCCTCCCATGATAAATGGATCGCTAGTTGCTCCTCCTAGAGGTTTTGCTAAACTTGGTGAGAGTATCGATCTTATGAAAAATTGATCGCTAGTGAATTGATTCCGTGACAGATTGATCACTAGTTGTTCACCCCCGCTGTTCACAACCACCTATGACACATGACTCCATTCAATCCAACGAGTCATGATAGCTAGTTAGGGGGAAGCAACTCCTTGGTGACGCTCCCTTAGTTAGAGTTTTCCGTTATTTACTTTTCTTTGCTTGTTTAGTTTGTAGTTTCATTAGCTCAAAACCCTAAAGTTGCTTGCTAGATAACAACCTAAGCGATTGAAGTAGGGGTACATGGACCGGCCCGAGTTGACAATTTAAATACTGTCTCTATACTGCACCTGACAAGAGTTTAAAAACTTGGACTCTAGTTCGGATTAATTTGTGGTGTAGTTTCGTGCGAGTCACTCGTGCAATTCACGGAGGTAGTAAGCGGGCAGGAAACGCTCCCGCATCAGGTGGCTGTAAATTCCGTCGACGCCGCAATTGGTCCTGTTCCCACCACGCCGTGGCGTAATCCTGAAATTCTTAGGTGGCCAAGAGCACCTTTTGATTCTTGGTGTACTTCCCACACTGAAAGAATATCAAAATATTTCGTTCCCAATCCAGGATCGCAGTTGTGTTGCTTGTGCCATGGAAATTTGGGATTGAAAGTTTGATTCCTCGCAGCTCCGAAATTGGAACTTCCTCTGCTTCACGATTCGGTTGCGAGAATCCCCCTTGAGGCCTATTGAATGGCTGCTGGTCTTCCGTATTGACTTCCAGAGCCATCAATTGTCGTTCCAGGTTTCAAACCCGATCCGCCAGAACTTGATTGGTTTCTGGGACTCCATTTTGTGGTGAGTTGTCAAAATTCGCCGACAGGGTTCGCTGAGGCTCGAATTGAACCTGTGCTCCGCACGGGGTCGTCGGAGCTGGTTCTCGATGGCTAATCAACACGACCGTCTGATTTAACTCATCGAAATTGGACGAGAGCGCCTTAAACTTCTCGTCCTGTTTGGTCAGTTACGTCTGAAACAGAGCAACGACCTGTTGCAGCTCAGCCATCGTGACGGGCTGCGGGTCTCCCACAGCTTCGTCCTCGTCGTCCCTAGCCGCGGTCAAGCTCAGCTAACTTCACCGCCACTGCAGCCTCCTCTTTCTTTTTCTTTTTCTTCTTCTTCTCCGACACCAGTTCAGCAGGTTCACTGGGAACATGGCCTTTCGACCTCGTCTAGTGGGTTGATTCGGTGCCTCCTTCATTCATCCTGGTGGCCATTGTGTTGAACCAGGCTACTAATGCCACTTAATAAACCCCTAACCAGGGTTTTAGTTAGAATTCACGCAGCCAAGAGGTCTCAAAGCCTCGGATTAACCTTCCTCGAACAAGCTCACAAACAGGGTTCTCACACAAGCTTAGGTAAGCCAGTTTGGAAGCCAATTGGATGGAAACGACAGAGGAATCTCACACCTGGGAGATTACACGATCGCTATAGTGATGCCTTCGATGTAATTGAGTGTGTTTCTCAATCAATAGGCTAGGGTTTCAACAAGTTTTGATCGCAACCAAAACCAAATCAAACTCACAACTCTCACGTTGGGAAATTTGGGGTTTTTTACTCAAATTCAACTCTGCCTACTACAATTCGAGAATGATGCCTTTTATAGGCTTAAACAACTACAAACTAACTAAAAAAGGACTGAAATTAACCTAACTAAACAAATAAAATGAATTATAATTGTAATCCGAATTGAACTAGGAATCCTCATAGGACTCGGATTACTGGTAGTGCAAGGTGGCTTCTTTGAACCCTTCGATCATCTCCTTCCCAGCCAAGTCGAGATCAACCAATGCCCGTTCTGGGTTTAGAAAGTTTCACTCTATCTTCTCCAACTTGAATCACCTCCTGGTTCTGCCCCAAACACTAGATATGAATCCTCAAAGTCAGCACCTCGAACTCGTGTTTCGCCTTAGCCAAAAATAGCCAATTTCTCGGTTTTGGGTTAACAAGTTGGTGAGCTCCAAAACTAGCCTTCTGGGCTTCTCCTTGATCACCCACGCACTCCACCATGTAGATAAAGTTCTTATCTTCAAAACAAGCCATCAAACTCCCATTTTCATCACATGACTTTGAAGATCCGAACCTCCACAGCGGGTATCCTGCAACACCAAAAACACTTAGCAAATTTTGTGGCTCTTTATGGCTAATGACCTTGCCTTTTGTTCAATCCATAAAAACTTCAAGAGCAAGCAATTTGGATCATATCAGTGTTGTAAATAACTATTAATTATTTGAACAGTAATAAAAAAAGTTGTAAACAACTATTTCATCCATCTTTTGGTAAAAAGTAAAAACATATATTTTTGTTTCTACCTACAAGACACGTTTAAGTAAATTAGAAGCTATGTGAGGCCGCAACGTTCACCTTCCATTTAATGCCTTCTTCTAACTTGATTTACATTATCGAAAATTTGAAATACTAGATTTAAATGAAGGTTATTTTGGACAAGGGCGAATTGTGGTAAATCAGTGGAACTCAGATTGCAGTAAATCAACCACAAAACATATTAAAAATAAGGAATGGTTATAACTCCAAATCCCAAAAGCCAAACACAAAAATAATAAAACCAAAATCAGAAGCACGTGAAATTAAAGAAACCATAGCAAGCAGTAATTGAACAGGAAAGACTAATCAAATATGATATACAAATGCACATTATTCATAAATTGTTTTAAAGTTTCATTTTATGGTTCAACTATTGAAAATGATAAATGAGATTAGATCGAATCAAGCTCATGAGTTGATTGACAAAATCGAGCCTGTAGATGAGCCTATTAATTATGAGACGAAGTCGAGTCGAGCTCATAAGAAGAGAGAACCGACTAGGGTTGATGTTATCAGTTTAGAGTTAAAGTTGGTCTCTATGTGGGTTTGTTCTAATTGGGTTGAAGTCCTTAACCCTAAAGTATGTTCTCACTGTGAAGTACAATACATGCCGGAGCTCCGCCGATTCCTGCTGGCGATCTTACCAGCAGCTCATCAACGATTCCCTCCCCAACTTCGACATCCGCCGCTCCTGCGGCTTCCAGACCAGCTGGATCTCACAGGGATGCATGAATATCACCACCAGGCAAGAATTCGACACCTTATTCCGACGCTGCCGAGCTATGGAGCGAGATTTCATAGAATTAGGATCGCACACCTGAAGGCGACCGCATGGTGCAAGTACAAGTTCAACAACAACTAACCCTACTTCTGGCTGCTGAAGGCGGACTACCGCCGCCTGCTGCTGGACCAAACCCCCGCCGCCGCCTCCACCCGCCGGTCGAATATCGACGGCGTGCTCACCGCCGAGTTGACCTACTTTTGGCTGCTGAAGGCGGACTACTTCACTTTCCTTGTTGTCTTCTCGCTGCTTTCCACCGCCGCCGTCGTCTTCACCCCCAGCTCGGATCCGATCGTCGCCCGCTCTTTTGCCTCCTCCAGATTCTTCCTCCGGCATGCAGTCACACACGGTGAGGCGGTGGTAATCGGATGAGCTCTGGATTGGATAAGTCCTCCTTTTCATTTCACGTGGCAGATCAGTATTTTATTTTATTTTATTATTATTATTATTATTATTATTATTATTATTATTATTATATTGCTAGTAGCAGCTTGCTCTATACTGTCATTTTTATCCTAATCCTACAGCCGTGCGACTATGGGCATTAAGTAGGTGCGGTGACCTTATCTTGTTTACCGCCGTGGCTCTTGGTGCCGTATTAGGCCAAAATATATTGGGCCTATTCTCATGTGCCTGATGGGCTTGGTCCGTCTTTTTATTTATTTGTTTTGCAGATGAAGATACGATGTATCCTTTTGTAGATTAGTCTTAAAGACACATTTGGTCACTGAGATTACAAAATCGGGACATGTTTAGTCATTAGAAAAAGTTAATATCAAATTTGGTCACTACAATTACTAAAACTGGACGCATTTAGTCACTCGCCGTTAGTCTCCGTCCAACTCCGTTAATGAAGTCCGTTAAGTGCTGATGTGGCAAACAGAATTGTCTAATCAGCCGGATATAACCCAACAAAAATAAAACCCGACCCGCCACGTCATTATAACCCGCCACCTCATTAAAACCAACACAACCCAACTCATGACCCAACCCTACCCAACCCTTCTTCCTCCTTCCTCCCCAACCCAATTTAGGGTTTTCCCCCAACTCAATTTAGCTGGGGAAAGGAATTTCGTTCTCATTCAGTTGGGGCTTTGTAATTGTAATGCAGCAAGAGCATTGAACGCCATTTTCGAGAGACGGGGAATCGAAGCGCAACCGGGGCAATGGAACATAAGCGGCGAGCTCTGCAGTGGGTCGGCGCTGGGTGCAAGCCCCACCATCGACGAGCAAGCTTTCAACCCTTTCATCAAATGCGACTGCACTTTCAATTCCTCCACCGTCTGCCGCATCACCGCCCTGTTTGTACCCACCTCTTTGTTCCCTCGTTTTTTTTGGGGGGTTGCTCTATAAAGTAATCATCTTTGTTGTTGGTTTGTGTTCGCAATTTGCAGGACAACAATCCTTCTTTTTCTTCTCTGCTTCAACATTGGTCTTCCCCTCCGGCTCCGGCCGATTCTTCTTCCCGGCAGTCGATTTTGCTTCCTTCCGAGTCGGATCCGGGCGATTCCGACTCGATTTCACTTCCTTGATGAAAGAACTGCTAAATTGAGTTGGGGGAAAACCCTAAATTGGGTTGGGGAGGAAGGAGGAAGAAGGGTTGGGTAGGGTTGGGTCATGAGTTGGGTTGGGTTGGTTTTAATGAGGTGGCGGGTTATAATGACGTGGCGGGTCGGGTTTTATTTTTGTTGGGTTATATCCGGCTGATTAGGCAATTCTGTTTGCCACATCAGCACTTAACGGACTTCATTAACGGAGTTGGACGGAGACTAACGGCGAGTGACTAAATGCGTCCAGTTTTAGTAATTGTAGTGACCAAATTTGATATTAACTTTTTCTAATGACTAAACATGTCCCGATTTTGTAATCTCAGTGACCAAATGTGTCTTTAACCCATTTATATTGTGTTATTGGTTTATATGCATAGGCTATTCAGGATTGTCCATCTTGTGACTTAAAAGGCTCTTAATTGATAGTTCACTTAGTGGTGACTATCGTACTTTAGTTGCCTTCCCAGCTCTTTGGCCTTGCCCTGTTGGGCTATTATTTTGTTCATTTTGCAGGGAACTTCTTGATCGGTTCGCAGCCAAAGCAAAATGGACATGTGACAATCTCAGTAATCTGTCAACAAGTGGCCTGAATCTTTGGAAACTAACATCTTGAGATGGAGAAGAGGATTGCTCGAGAACATGGTTATTTTAGTTTGTGAAATTTCTACTCTTTTGTAGTCTATGTGTTTGTCCATTTTGAAGGTTTAGCTGCTTATATGGCTGCCCTTTTGTGGCACTAACGGCCCTTTCATAGGAAGTGGAATGGACTTTCCTCAAACTTTGGAGACTTGGTGGGATTTGCTGCAAAGACATGGATCTGGTCAATGCACTTACAAGGGTTTGCTGCTCTGCTTCAATTTTCAGCATAGTTAGTTCATGATATTGATCCTTTTAAGGAAAGATCATGATATTACCCATGTCGTTCAGGTATCATAGGGCAGCCCATATCGTGGCAGGAAAGCCCTATATTGTCAGACCTGCAAAGGTCTTTTCATTTTTCATTTATGATTTGACCTGCAAAGGTCATGTATATTGTTATATACTTCGTATCTGCTGTTCCCCTTTGGGGATATCTCTGGCAAAAAAAAAAAAGCCAATAATGATAGATTGATAACGGGTGAAATTTGGCTACAACACGAATTGGAGCCGATAGAAAATAATTTCCTAACACTTGTTCATCGTGAAATGTTGGGTGGAAATCGGTACGGTATCGATATTCCAATACCAAATATCAAAATTCTAAATACCAAATTACACCTTAAAATCAATCTCAATCTTCATCACAATTCCTAAATAATTTCGTTATCCCAATCTCAATCCCTTAATATTTCGATATCCCAATCGGTACTTCGGTATCCCAATCGATATTATCGAATACAAAATTAATTACCTTTACAATTAATAATTAAATATATAAATTAGATTTGATTGTTTAATATAGGACAAAGAGACTAAGCAAAGAGTCTTGAGTGTGGCGAGAGCTAGGATATGGATAAGGAGAATGGAGGAGAGGTGACATCTCAAGTTTTTGTCATTGGTAATCTTTAATTTGACGAATTGCAGACTGAGAGAAGACTAATACTAGTGTTTACTTTTTGGTGTTATGAAAATAACAATAGATTGATGGTTGAGGGTCGTGTAGTAGTGAATGAGAGAGTATAGTTGAGGGGATAAAATCCACACTAGCTTATATTTCGGTATTGTTCAGTATTTCGGTATATACCGATCCCAATCCCGTAATCCCTAATACTGAATAACAATTAAAATTGAATCCCAATCCCAATTCTAAGAAATAATATGTGTATTCGGTAATACCAAATATAGACTAAATTTGGTACGATATTCAGTATATCCCAAATACCAGTACCAAACTTCCAGCCCTAGTGAAAGGGATACTATATATCCCCCGCATGGCTATTTTCGACCGCAACGTGGACTCAGACAGGGAGATTCGTTACCCCCTCTTCTTTTTGCTCTCTATAATGAAGGTTTTTCTGCTTTGATTAATTAGACTATCAATTCCGAATTCTTTCGTGGTATAAAGATTCATCATCATTGTCTTGTGCTTTCTCATATTTTCTTTGCAGTTGATTCTTTTTTATTCCTTCGAGCAACAGTTCAAGAATGTTACAACCTACTTACTCTCCTTACTACCTATAAACAAGTCAGTGGTCAGAAGGTCAATCTCTAGAAATCCACAGTTACCTATAGTGCCAATGTCACGGAGTCGGAGGCTGCAGAGTTCATGGCTATCATGGGCGTGGCAACAAGCGGGGAGGATGATAAGTACCTTGGTTTACCTGTGCGACTATCAAGATCTAAGTAGGATACCTTCCGGTATATCGAGGATAATGTGCTACAACGACTGCAATGATAGAAGTCACAGTCTATGTCTTTGGCAACCAAGGAAATCGTCCCTCATGGGCTTGGCAACGCATTCAAGAAGGACGAAGTCTCTAGATCCGAGGACTTCGGTGGTTGATTGGGTCCGGTAACTCCGTTTGTATTACAGGTGATAACTAGCAGCCAACATCTCCACCTTCTTTCGCAAAGTTTTTGCCGAATTCATCATCTCCTGCTCCTCATGTTGCTTGCCTCATAAACCACGAAACTGGCTCATGGAAGGTACAACATCTCTTATCACTCTTTGATGCATAGACGGTTACACTCATTAGGAGTATTCCACTCCCCATTTTCCAACAGCGGACATACTCATTTGGCACTATGAAGCCTCGGGTGAATATACTGTAAAATCGGGTTACAGGTTAGCGTCCGAAGAGTTCATTAGAGATATTTTCACTATTCCAGTCCTGTTTGATTCTGCTGCCTCGAAATTTCTCTGGTCTTCATTGGTCCCTCCTAAATTTAGATTTTTCATGTGGCGTTTAATCAAAGGGATTTTTCCTTTGAGAGATGTGTTGTGTGACAAAAAGCTTATTGATGGATCGTTTGTGGGTCGATCAACGTTCCTCCTAAACAGACCCTCTTATCGTTGGATCGTATATGGGTCGACCAACGTTCCTTCCTTATTTCTGTTTTGTGATTTGCCTGCAAAGGTTCTATATATATACTCTTATCTTGTTGTTCCTTTTCGGGATACCTTTGGCAAAAAAAAAATTACTATCTTTCGCTGTTTTCGTTTCACTCCCAATTGGGAATAAATCTGTGGTGCAATAGCTCTCAAATTTGATATAGTGGTTAATATACTGGTATTCTATGTGATTTCACGTTTGAATGCATTCTATAACACCTAGTATTAAATTAAATTCATATAATTGTTATAAATAAATAAACTAAGGAGATGCTGGCCGTGCTCTGCAGCGGGTATGAAATTGGTTTCTGGATCGTTATTTGCAAGCCCGTTTACGTGAAATAAATTGTTCAGGTCAAATTTCTATAATTTAGCTTGAAGTAAATGAAACCTCAAGCTCAAATGCTTACTTTTAGCATGGGGATAACGAATAGAAAGTAGAAAATGATAGACCAATTACCAATTAAACTCTAGTTCATAGATATACAGCAAGTAAATTACTAACACCAGTTCAAAATCCTTCCCTTGAGGTTAGAAGATACAACCTACAAATTACAATAGGGCATAAGTAATAAAAAGACACTACAACCAGAATTGTTATGACATAACCTGAATCCTTTTGCAAGTTAAAACAATCAAATTGATTTAATACTACTCAGATTGTTATAAGTAATATTGATGAAAACGAAGATTTTAGTGCCTAAAATTTTTTACTTACATTTTGATACCAAATTTTTTTTACATTTATAAATACATTCCAATGTTATGAGGTTTCTCGCATTCGTCATAAAACTTGTGGTCTACTTTAAGAAACAGGTGTTATACTTAATGAAATTTTGGTATGCTTTTAGAAACTTGCGATATATTCTTAGGTTTAAACTAGTGTTAACGTCATGCTAATAAAAAATTATTAGCAGTCCAAGCTTGTCAACCCACAGGTCGACCCACCGGTTGACCCACTTTGACCTGACCCGTTGAGAAAACACACCCGCCAGGTCAATCGCTGCAAGGTACCAGGTTAGAGGTCAACTTTTTTCCTTTGGTTTGCAAAATGCGCCTATTTCGTGGTTTCTTTTTTCGCCTAACCCAATCTTTGGAATTCTAAATTGAACATTTGAATATTGATGTTATATAAGTATGTGTGATTTCACTATATGTTAGATTCAAGTACGACATGTTATTTTGTTGTAATGTTATATGTTGTTACTAATATGTTACATGAGATTTGATATGACTTATAATGTATGAACAATACAATGACTTTTTTCATATATCTGATCTAAAATGGTCGGACTATTAATCTTTAACCCACTTTCTCGGCCAGACCAACGAGCTAAATCGGGTTGACAACTTTAATTAACACTCTAACCGTTCCCAATTATCTCCTACCTCAGCTTCCCTTTCAATTAGCCCTAATTATAATAATATATTACTTTTTTTTTATAATGGATGCAACGACACTCTACCTTTCATTCAAAACCAACCGAGGTAGAAAAACCCTTTGATAGTCATACAATAGCAGATGCGAGAGCATCATATCGGAAATCGGAAACAAATGACATCCATAGTTAAGGTGATGGCCCTGACTAGCAAGATAATCATCACAAACATTACCCTCACGATACACGTGAGAGATGCGAACTTCCCAAGAGCGGGAAGTGAGCTCGCGGAACCGAGAGATAATGGATGGTGGTCGTCAATGTCGGTGCGTTGTAGCAGCTGAACCGCGCACTTCGTGTCGAGTCAAAGTAGAACCCGCATTGACATGTATCCGAAGCTACCTGAAGACCTTCAACAACACCCCTCAACTCAGCCAGGGTAATAGAGCACGACCCCAGGTTAATAGCAAATGTTGTAAGACAATGCCCCAAATGATAACGGATCAAGCCACTAGCTGCTGCGTGGCCTGATTCAGGGAGAACGAAGTCGTCGGAGTTGAGGCTAACCCACTCGGGAGGAGGCGACTTCCAGTTGATCTGCTCCTCCGTTCTGGTAAGTGGACT